TGGCAGTTCAAACCCACCAGCCACTCATCGGAAGGAAGATGGGGCAATCTACTTCTGTAGTGATACTGCCTCGGAAACCCAAGGAGGGGTCGCTATGCGTGGGATCCGACTCAACGGTAGTGAGTTTTTTTTTTGATAATATATTCCAATATGATTTGGAGAATCATGGTCCTTTTATAAATGCCTGATTCATGATGGAAATTTTTCTCATGAGATTCAAAATTATTCTGAATTCTGTAGGTTACAGTGAAAGTTAATACAGCCTACTGGAGAGAAATTTAGCAAATATTTATCAAAATTCAAAATAAAAATGCCTTTTCGACCAGTAATTTCATACTGAGATATCTATTTTATAGAAAAACACATGCACAAAAATATATGTCTAAGGGTCACTTGTAAACATTGTATTTAAAACTGAAAAATTGGAAATAACTTAACATGTATCAGAAGTCTGTTTAAATAAATCAAACCAAAAAACCAAACTCACTGCCATTGAGTTGATTCCAACTCACAGCAACCCCCTTTGGGTTTCTGAAGCAGTAAATCTTTAAGGAAGTGGATTGCCCAGTCTTCCTGCTGTGGAGTGGCTGGGGGGTTTGAACCATCAACCTCTGCTTAGCAGTCAAATGCCTTAGGCACTATGCCACCTGAGTGCCTTATGTTTAAATAAAGTTACAAAATATTTAATTATTTAAGGAGGAAAATGGGGTAGAGCTATCTGTTCTTACAAGGAAAGATCTCCAGAATATAGTAATTAAAATGTCTCATAAATAACAACAACAAAAGAAACCAAACTCACTGCTGTGGAGTCCAGTCCGACTCACAGCGATCCCTCCTTGGGTTTCCGAGGTGGTATCTCTGAGGAAGTAGATTGCCCCATCTTCCTTCCAAGAAAATGTCTCATAGATGTGGTGTATTTTGGAGTGTGATAATTGTACATGTGTAGAAAAACGAAAGGATACACACTCAACTGTTAACAATGGTTAACTCTGGGGAAGGGAGCGGAAACTTTTTATTGAATATACCTCTATATTGTTTGCAGACATTTCAAAATATTACAATGAAAAATTACAGATATTTTTTAAGGAAAGGAGAAAATCCAACATCCTACACAGTCAACACTGTACTATTATGAAGAATCCAGTGTCTTTTAAATGAAAATTTTATGATATTCAGTTTGGCCCTTGTGTATAAGTACAGAGTATTGTAAACGTGGACAGAGTAAATATGGCTTGCTATCTTAAAAGTAAATTTATTTATTCTACAACTACCTTGATTTAAATTCCAGCTTTCCCATTTACCAGCTGTGTGACTTTAGAAAAGTAATTTAACCTCTCTGAGCCATAGGTCCCTCATCTATAAAATAAAAATAAGATTACTGACTTTGTAGGTTTATTACTAGAATCAAATGAGTTAATATGTGAAAAGTACTCAGAACAGAGCCCTGAAGATAGTAAGAACTCAGGAAATGTTGGGGATCCTGACTGCCCAGGGATCACAGTAGTGAACCCTCTGTTACTAATTAGGCTATACCTTAGCCTGCTTGCTGTCAAGGTGAATGTTTCAGTGTTTCTCAAAGACCATCTATCATTACTTATTCATTTTCAAAATTAATCTTCATTTTATTAAAGTCACACACATTTTAAAGTTTAGTTTTTCTTAAATCTTCAAATTAACTTTATAAATGTTAATATACTATTTATAAATCAAATAAATGCTAATAGTCTCTCTTATGGCAGAACTTTCAAGAACAGTTTGATCAACTCAAATTCAGCAGACCAAACTCCCTTAAACAGTCAGTCTCCACAATTTAAATTTCTTAAAACATTTTAACCTACAGTCCAAACCAAAACCAAACTCACTGCCATTGAGTTGGATCCAACGCATAGCGACCCCTCCTTGGGTTTCTGAGGGAGTATCTCTATGGAAGTAGATTGCCCAACCTTCCTTCTGAGAGTGGCTGTTGAGTTTGAACCACCAGCCTTCTGTTTAGCAGTCAAATACCTTAGGCACTATGCCACCAGAGCTCCTTTAACGTACGGTACTAAATTTATTTAAATTTTTTATTGTCTTAGTTCTCTAGTGCTGCTATAATAGAAATACAAGTGGATGGCTTTACCAAATTTATTCTCTGGCTCTGGTAGCGTAGTGCCTAAGGCACTTGACCGCTAACCAGAAGGCTGGCAGTTCAAACCAACCAGCCACTCTTTGGAAGGAACATGGGGCAATCTACTTCCGTGGGGATACTGCCTCGGAAACCCAAGGAAGGGTCGCTATGAGTCGGGTCCGACTCGACAGCACAAAACAACAACAACAACAGTGTAGGAGACTAGAAGGCCTAGTTCAGAGTGTTGGCTCCAGGGAAAGACTTTGTTTTTGTGTCTCTTGTTCCCACGAGGATTCCAGTGCAGGGACCCTAGGTCCAAGAACTCGCTCTGCTCCTGGCTCCTCTTTCTTGGTGATAGTAGGTTCCCCTTCTCTTCTCCCTCTTTCCTTTTATCTCTTGTAAGGTACAAGGCGTTGCCAGCCACACTCCAGGGAAGCTCCCTGTGACTGGACGAGGGGTGTTGCAACCCATCCTTAACCTTAATCCTCTTCCACTTGATCACCTTCTTCACATCAGATCACAGGGTATTACTACATATTTGCCACATTACATCATTACATATCTTCTACACCACTAACAATCATGACTCAGCCAAGGTGACAAAAGTTTGGGGGGACACAATTCAATGTATGACACTTACAGTGCCTCAACTGACCAACACACCCTTCTAACTACCTAAACCACTCCACTATAGTCTAACAAATTCAGTTTACAAATATTGTTGTTGTTGTTGTTGTTATGTGCCGTCGAGTCAAACCTGACCCCTCCTTGGGTTTCCAAGGCAGTATCACTAGGGAAGTAGGATTGCCCAACCTTCCTTCCGAGGAGTGGCTGGTGGGTTTGAACCGCCAGCCGTCTGGTTAGCAGGCAAGTGTCTTAGCCACTACGCTACCAGAGCTCCCTTACAAATATGTTGTTGTTGTTGTTATTTGCCGTCGAGTCAGCCCTGACTCATAGCGACCCCTCCTTGGGTTTCCGAGGCAGTATCACTACGGAAGTAGGATTGCCCAACCTTCCTTCCGAGGAGTGGCTGGTGGGTTTGAACCGCCAGCCTTCTGGTTAGCAGTCAAGTGCCTTAGGCACTATGCTACCAGAGCTCCCCTTACAATATATAGTGGGTCTTAATTTCTCATAAATATTACAGAATTATGTACAACTCTGGAGAATTATCTTACAGCTTTCAACTAAGGCACGTGACTGCTAACCAGAAGGCTGACAATTCAAACCCACCAGCCACTCCTCGGAAGGACGATGGGGCGATCTACTTCTGTAGCGATATTGCCTTGGAAACCCAAGGAGGGGTCGTTATGAGTCGGTCCGACTTGACGGCACACAACAACAAAATCAATGAGTCAAATACATATTGTAATTTGGAATCACAAGATCTGTTACTCACTCTAATTTGCCAGATTCTTTTAACCAGTAGCACTTTAAAAAGACATAGATTATTCCTAATATAATATAAAAAGACTATACTGTCAGTTTGAATATTTTGTTTGATTCTAAATTTTCCTGAAATGATACTTCACTTGAAAGATAATCAGTCTACTTTTTCAATTACTTCCCCAAGCAAGTTGGATATCAGCCTAGGCAACTAGGGTTGCTTATCAGTCAAATGACTGGCTGGGAAATGATATCTTTGGCCGCATATGTTGAGGGAACTTTTCTGGGTACCTCCCTCCTTAAATTGTTGCTGTGGCAAGAGGAATGCCAAGTCAACATCCTTTAAACGGAATCGTTTTCACAACCATTTTCTGGGTTCAAGATACATCATTATCTAAGTCTTTGGAGTAACAGACAATCTAATTGCTTTATCACTTGTTTAGACTCCCTCCATCTCTGCTTCCTGACTGGATGTGGTACTTTTTCAAAAACAATTTGAACTGCCTGGCTGTTGGCCTCAATTATAAAGTTATTTCAATGATAGATGCTTCATGATGGAAATTTTGGTTTTGCTAAGTAGCTAGCCCTCTGCCAGCCGACTTATTCCCATCTGCCTTTATATGGTTCCTCCCGCCCCTCTAAAATGTCTATATCTCTGCTCTTACAAAGCAGTTTGGTTCTCTTTGGCCTCTCCAGTTTCTATTCTCACATCCACCTCCATCCACCACCCGAAAAGTTCACCCTTCATAGTGAACTCATTCAACCCGAAAAGGGACGTATCATTATTCCTCTTTACAAAAGAGGAAACTGAAGTGCACATCCTTATGGAAGCCCAAGATTCTTTTATTCTGCTCCACGCGGCTTCCTCGTGGGCACCCCAGATTAGGCTAACTGGTACTGATTACCTAAAGGTCAAAATAAGATTGACAAGCCCCTCTTCCCGGCCTCCTTCAGGCCAACGTGATTGAGACGTGCTAGCAAACCTGCGATCCAAAACGAGCACAACGTCGCAGAACTCGGGAGACCGACAGTACTTAACAGCCCGAAGGGTCACTGCCCAGGGCCAGCACAACCCTACTGCACTCGCGTGTCCCGCGGAATTCCGAGACCGAGGCCGCCAGCGCGCCTGGGCCAGGGGGTGGAGCCTGAGGGAGAGAAGAGGGCGGAGCCACCACCCTCCACTGAAAATACCTCTTGCAGTCATTTGTTCTACGTCGCGACCCGTAGAGCCGCCGAGTTGCCACCCCTTTTTTTTGGAGTGGTGGAGAGTCAATCATGTGACAGTCCAGAGGCCGGAACTGGGAAGGTTAAGGGACGCTCAGGGTTTTGACAAAAACAAACGGCGACGGCGACGGCGCCGCTGGTGGGTCTATGGCTGAGGCAGTGAGGCCCCCTCGCCGGGCCAAGGCCAAGACCAGCCGAACTAAAGCCAAGGTGAGGACTTCTCTCTCTGTCCCCTCAAGCCCTGCCATGTGCTCTCAGGATAGCCTTTCCTCTTCGGCCCCTCCACCTGACTCCCCCATTCCCTGATCTCTCCTCACCCCCTGCCCCACTTCCCAGAGTTTGATCCCACCACTCATTGACATCATCCCTGCTCGTCTGCTGGCACATTTCCATGTCACACTTTATAAGGAGCCCATTTATTTTTCTCCGTCTTCTGACCAACCATACAGTGTTTTGTTCTGTTGGACATTGGGTCAATGTGAGTCGGAGCCGACTCAACGGCACCTAACAACAACATCTGACCTCCCTGGGCTCTTTCGTTTCGATTCCTGCCGCGAAGCAGCTTTTTCTCTCAGTCTCATCTTTGACCCTCTTTTCTCCCCTGTAACCTGGTAACTTTTCCAGTCCCTCTCCTGCATGAAGAAGGGAGGGACCTCTTCTCCACGCGGAGAGTATGTCCTTTGGCAGAGCTTTATAAAGTAGACTGTAGTGATGTGAGAGCTCTGATGGTGCAGTGGTTAAAGCATTCGGCTGCAAACCAGAACGTCGGCGCTTCGAACCCACCAGCCACTCAGCGGGAGGAAGATTGGCAGCCTTGGAAACCCTATGTGACAGTTCTCTGTCTTACAGGGTCGCTATGAATCGGAATCGACTTGATGGCAGTGGGTTTTGGTTTGGTAGTGATATGCTTGTCCTTGTCACTTCCAAAATTCAGGGTGATAGTGGTTTATCCTGTTTACCCTGTTTATTTCGCCTTGTCCTGGTGGTTTGTGATGTGGTACCAAAGTCTGAAATTAAGCCAGGGTATGACTCACACAACAGGGGGGTATGACTCACACAACAGGGAAGTATTTGAATCTCTGGGTTTTTTGGTTTAAACAGATGTACTGATGCTTTGGTTAAGTTGATTTGTTATTAGGTGCAGCCTGGATTCTTCTTTTGTCCCTTCGTATTTTCTGAAACAACGTTTATTTTACAGCAAAAAGACTAAATGCTTCTCCTAGGGGTGGACCTAGATGCTTTTGGCTTACTTGTAACTGAGTTTCTAAGAAGGAAATAATGAGAATGGTATTGTGAGGTCAGGCCGTTTCCTTTTCTACAAGTGGCTGATGTTCTAGAGAATGTCTAACTTTAAAATGATCCCAAAATCTGATTTTCTCATGGGAACAAGGTTATAACCGGAGACTAGTGTTCATAGGTACCATGGTTCATAAATTGTAAATAACTTACGTAGGTTCTGTTCTTTATGATGCCTTTTTAAAAGGTAGAGGAGTCCCTGGGTGCTACACACAGTAAAGCGCTAGACTACTAGCTGAAAGGTTGGTGGTTTGATCCCACCCAGAGTCGCCTCAGGAGACAGACCTGGTGATGTGCCTGGAAGGTCACAGCCTGGAGAACCCTATGCAGCAGCTCAGCTCTGCACACGTGGGGTCGCCATGAGTCAGAATGGACACGGCAGAGACTGACAACAACAGTAACGCAGTTATGCTTATCAATTTACTCAGGCCCAGGTGGAGTTATTCTTTGCTGAGAAAGCTATTTTACTGCCTACTTCTGAAACATTTTCTTTCTTTCTTTGAACTTTTTAATAACGTTTAAATTGTGATATGGGTGAAAGTTTACAGAGCAAATCGGTTTTCCATTCAACAATCCATACATGTTTGTGACATTGATTGCAATCCCCCAGTATAACAGCACTTTTCCCACTTCCTCCCTGTGTTTACCATGTACATTTGTTCTTCTTTCCTATCCCTTCCTGCCTCGGACCTTATCTCTGCGCAAATGCTGCTCTTTTGATCGTATATGGTTGATTGTTCTAAGGAGTATGTACCTCCTTGGTGTTATTTTTCACCTTATAGGCCTGTCTAAGGAGCTCGGTGGTATAGTGCCTAAGGCATTGGACTACTAACAAGAAGGTTGGTGGTTCAAACCCACCAGCCATTCTGCGGAAGGAAGACTGGGCAATCTACTTCTGTAAAGATTTACTGCCTCAGAAACCCAAAGGAGGTTGCTATGAGTTGAAATCAACTGGATGGCAATGAGTTTGGTCTTTTTTGGTATGTTGTTGTTGTTAATTGCTGTCGAGTCGGACCCAGACCTGTCTCATAGCGACCATTCCTTGGGTTTCCGAGGCAGTATCACTACAGAAGTAGGTTGCCCAACCTTCCTTCCGAGGAGTGGCTGGTGGGTTTGAACCACCAGTTTCATGGTTAGCAGTCAAGTGCCTTAGGCACTATGCTACCAGAGCTCCCTTTTTTGGTATAGGCCTGTGTCTTGTTTGGCTGAAAGTTGAGCCACTGTTTTGAGGGTATTGGGGGGGGTGGAGATAGGGGGATAGAGGGTGAGGGTGAGTGGGTGGGGATTGGTGTGTGAGTTCAGTGCCAGGTTTGAAGGATTTTGAAGGGCCATAGTCTCGGAGGTTCTACCAGTCTCTGTCAGACCAGTCAGTCTGGTCTTTTTTTTTAGGTTTGTTCCACATTTTTGTCTCACTCTATCCAGGGCCTTCCATTGTGATCTTGTTCAGAGTGGTTGGCAGTGGTAGCTGGACACCATCTAGTTCTGACCTCAGGATGGTGGAGGCTGAGGTTCATACAATCCATTAGTTCTTTGGACTAATTGTTTCAATGTATCTTTGCTTTCCTTCACTCTTCTTTACTCTGGGCCTTGGGAGACCAGTAGTTGCACCTTAGATGGCTACTCACAAGCTTTTAAAACCCCAGTTGTTACTCACCAGAGTAGGATGTAAAACATTGTCTTTGTGGATTGTTTCGCCAATTGACCTTGATGTCCCCCAAGACTATGGTCCTGAACCCCAGGCCCAGCTATTTATTCCCTTAAGGTGTTTGGTTATGGCTAAGAAGTTTTCATAACTTTACGCCCTATATGCTCTACTGTATTCGTGGGTGTATTTGCAGCACATATAGATACTATGGAGAAATATCCACTGTCAAACCTGTGTGTCAATTCGTGGGTGTAGTTCCCCTTGGTCTTCCTACGCCTGCTCAGCTTGCATGTCCTTTCTAGGCATCTACTCACAGATTGTTATTTTTACTGTTCTTGCAGGATTGTGTGTGGAGTAGTAGTTAACTCCGTTGCCTTTGACTCTGTGCTCTTCCTGTTGTCTTTCTCTGCCTGGATCATTTTGTGCTGAGCGCCTCCTTATTGAGCATTGCCTTTTCCTTCACCCCAGTTAGTTCATGTCCACCCTCTAGTTAGTGACCCCGACTGGTAACCATCAAAGAATGATTGTTTCTTTCCAATTTTTTAAAGGAAGCACCATACCATTTTCCACAGTAGTTGTACTGTTTTATAGTCCCATCAGCAGTGTTTGAGGGGTCAAGTGTCTCCAAATCCTTGCCAGCATTTGTTGTTTTCTCTGTTTTTAAACTTTGCTGTTGATGCTGGGGTGAGGTAGTATCTTCTGTTCTTTTGATTTGCGACTCTCTAATGCCTTGTGATCAGGAGCATTTCTTCATGTGTTTCTTGGCCACCCGAATGTCTTGTTTGAAGTATCTGTTCATGCCCTTTGCCCATTTTCCCATTGGATTGTTTGTCTTTTTGTTGTTGAGGTGTTGAAGTTTGCTATAGATTTTAGAGATTAGTCCCTTGTCCAATATGTCATTGCCCCCAATTTTTCTCAGTCTGTAGTTTCCCTTTTTACTCTTTTAGTGAAGTCCTTTGATTCATGAAGCATTTTCAAGAGAAGTAATTTTGCCTCATGTTGAGCTGGTAGAAAATTGTCCTGCAGAGGAGGAGGGAGAAAGGCTATTTCCAGCCATGCTTAAGACCCCTGACCCAAAATATAGCAGCACGTAACATGGAAGCTTCATTGAACCCAGAACACAGCAGTTCATAGCATGGGAACATCAGACAGTGAACCCAGAATACAGCAGCTCATAACATGGGAATGTCAGTGATTCCAGAATACAGCAGTGCATAGCATGGGAACGGAACGTCAGACAGTGAACCCGTCATACAGCAGCTCATAACATGGGAACGTCAGTGATCCCAGAGCACAGCAGTTCATAGCATGGGAACGTCAGACAGTGAACCCAGAATACAGCAGCACATAGCATAGAGATGTCAAAGACAGTGAATGCAGAATATAGCAGCGCGTAACATGGGAATGTCAGACACTGAACCCAGAATTCAGCAGCAGTAGCCTGGGAATGTCAGTGAACCCAGAATACAGCAGCGTGTAGCATGGAAACATCAGTTGTATATAGAGAGCAAAATCTTAAAACTTTTAATTAAAGAATTTAGAAATACTAATAACTAGTTTCTTCTCTCCAAATAAAAATGACAAATATAAAGTCCAGACAGGTTGATGATAAGCCCAAAGTTAATGAGACAACTTAGGGTAAAGTAAATCTTGACTCTCAGTCTAGTGGCTTGGTAATTATTTATCTATAGTTATATGTCTGCCTGTAGAGAGACTGTTTAATATTTAAAAATGGACAGTTACAAGGGTTTTTCTCTCAAGGTTTACTTAAAACAAGGTTTCTAAATTAAAAGACTTAAAATGTTAAACATTTTTTAAGATTTTTTTTTAAATTGTGATTTGGGTGAAAGTTTACAGAGCAAATTCACTTTCCATACAGCAGTTCACATACACTTTATCTCATGACATTGACTAAAATTTACCACAGTGCAACAGCTCCCCTCCCACTTCCTCCCCATAGTTACCTCTTCCCTGGATCCATTCCTCCATGCACTCCTGCCCCCTGAGCTGTCTCCCTGTTCATAAACAGCCCTTCTTTCTCCCATGATTCTTCTCTCTAAGGAGTGTGTCTACCTCAGGTAAATGTTCAACTCATATGCCTGTATTTTGTTTGGCTGGAGGCCACAGGTGTGGGTTCGATTCCAGACCTGAAGGGCAGCTAGGGACCATAGCCTCAGTGGTTCCACCAGGCTCTATCAGACCAGCAAACCTGGTCCCCCTCTTTTTTTCCCCCCAAAATGATTTTGAGTTTTGTTCCATATTAATCTCT